ACGAAACAGAAGACCATCGTTATTTTTCCGACAAGTGCAGAAATTTTCCGACAAAATGGCAGTTTAGCCTTATAGGTGGGTTTTTCGCCCCTCCCCCCCGACCCCCTCTATCTACGCCACTGGTGGCATTCATCACAAATTTTCTGGCAGGTGAAATTTCTCTTCCTCTTTCACTCGGGCAAAAAATTTGCAGCCCTCCCCTAAATTTTAAATGCCCCTACACCGATGCCAAGGGTGAAAGTGTTAAATTTTACTACTATCTGTATCTAAATATATTCGGAATTGAAATTTTAAATATGATAGCATTCGTTTACAACCACTATACATAATGTGGATGATGACAAAATAAATAACAAAATCAGTAAAAACTTACGATAAGATCCATCATCTGGAAAAAAAAAATAATAATAATGTTAATTGTTTGTCTTTTTATGTAATACAGCGAGGTAACACGATGTGAGTTTTATCATATTAATAAGATACAAACGTTTTGGAAACTTACCTTGTCGTTCGCAGGGTCGAGTTTCAATTGTCAAATCAGAAAGTACGAGGACGGTCGCATCCTGCTCGTAGACAAAACGTATAAAATGTATATCTTTTATAACGTGATTTGAATATTCATGCAGTTTGTTGTACATGCATTTGCGTAAATTTTACCCTCCAGAAACAGTCAAATATACAAACAATCTCACATGTATATTACGGTTTTAAGTTCACAGTTCACTCACATTGAAAGCTGACAACGCATCTATGTACGTGGTTATATACGACATCCAATAGTGACTACGCATGCCCAAAGGTAAATCCTCCACAACTGGAAAAGGAATGAATGACATTAAATCCGAAACTTAAAACGCCACGCCAACTTTTCTCAACAAACAATCCCACAATCTCTGAAAAAAGGTGAACCTACCATCATCAAAGTATGTAGCAGTGGAATGCCCTGAGCAATAAGCATAATTATCAATTTGGCTGTTTAACCACATATACGGCTCGGTTCCTTTTAAAAGCTGAAACACGGTAGCGGTCGACAGGCTTCCTGTTTTTCCTCTGGACAGGATCTCGACGCTCCTGTCAACGACACCTGGAAGTAGGAACAAACGGCGTTAACAGAGTGGGCGTTAACATGTGATTCCTTGGTCGTAATAGGAAAGCTGTTGATGCTGCTAAATGGAATGTAATATGCAAAGTATTTCGATAATGTGTCGCACATATTTGCTCATATATCTTTATCGGCACTATAGCTTTATATATTCATTCACTGATAAATGTTATGTAATCTTAATCATCGCCTGCTTTATCATGAACTTCTCACATTTAAAAAGCCCTTTTATATTCATATGATTTGCTTCTTCAAGCATTAATTTCTTCCTCCTTCCTTCTTTCTCTCTCTCTCACTCTCTCTCTCTCTCTCTCTCTCTCTCTCTCTCTCTCTCTCTCTCTCTCTCTCTCTCTCTCTCTCTCTCTCTCTATCTATCTATCTCTCTATCTCTCTCTCTCTTCCTCATCATTTACCCAGTGAGCAGATGGAGTTCGGCGTTGCTGTGATCGTGATCTGCACCTCGTCCTTTGGCGCCGCGGTGTTCGAGGGCGCCCAGGCCAGGTCGGCGACGGTGGGCAGACAAGTGCTGACTTCCACAGTGCCAGAGGCTGCTATCACTTCGCCGGCGCCAGTGGAATACCAGATCAAGACCTAGAGTGTAATTTCAGATGGTTAAGAATCATGTTGGTAACTGCTGTTTATATATATGTACGCGTATGTGTGTGTCTATATATATATATATATATATATATATATATATATATATATATATATATATATATATAATGTATGTATGTATATATATGCATATGTATGTGTGTGTGAGTGAGTGAGTGAGTGAGTGTGTGTGTGTGTGTGTGTGTGTGTGTGTGTGTGTGTGTGTGTGTGTGTGTGTGTGTGTGTGTGCGGGCGCGCGCGTGTATCTGTATGCGTGCATGTGTGTGTCTGTTTTTCATTTACACAACTATTAATCAATTCACCGTAAATAAATGAATTTTAAAAAACCTACATCTGAAATACTCTGAAAAAACTTACATTGACAGAGGGGGACGCATAGTAAGGGATGTTCAGCTCGAGAGTGAAGGATCCCCTGACAAACCCTGCTGCAAGATCCGCCATTGGTTCGAGGAGCGCAGCTTCATCCAGAGACAAGCCCGAAGCCACCAGGTCTTGTTCGAAGGAGCGAGTAAACACCACCTGGCTCCTTGATATCACCTGGAAGGATTGGTTTGTGATAATCTTCTTATTCGTCTGCGGAATCTGACCTAGCACTCGCTTCATTCAAGATAAGAAGTGACAGAGTTGTCCATAATTCCCCCTTCTAACAAATTTGGTTAAATATGCCGATGTTATTAATTGTGATTTTATATTACTCAATGTCACACACACACACACACTCCACACTGTTTACATCGGTTTGAATGATGCTAATCACGTTTCTATCAGGTAATTCATACCGCCTACTATCTTCTATTTCAGAAATCTTGACTATGCCATGTACAATATCAGAGGAAAAATAAAAACTGGCAACTCATCTGGCATACTCCGATGTGCCAAGTCTCTTTTTTATTCCAATCAGCTGACATTTGGTTGTATTTACATAGGATTTGGCTTTTAATTGCTTATATGCACTATATCTTATTATCTATAATGAAAGTGTGCTTCCTTCTTAATCACTCGATTATCTTTTTCTCAAAAGAGACAAATCGGAGCGTGGGCTGAGTTGCCAGTTTGTCTCTTTCCTGAATCCGGACGAAGTGTAGATCAGGCCACTTACCTGCGCTCTCATCAGAGCCTTGTCTATATTGTTCGCCACGAAGAGCACCGGCAAAGACAGACTAATGTCCTCTCCTGGAGTGCAATCAACAGCGTCCGTCGGGATGGCGAGAGAGAGACTGGAGTTCGACTCGGAGTAGTAAACACTGAAGTAGAAGTAGGATATTGAAGGGTAACGGTGGCCAAGGTTTCCTTCTTCACCCTCTTCGTTCGCCAGAGTCACCTGTTGGAGGAAAGCGGAAATGGCGTCATTATTTGCAATCGGATCACGTGGTAACTTATTTATCTGTCTTCTAACTGACGGTAATCTATGGTATGAATATATTGTTTTAGACGCAATGATAAGCCATATGTCGATAATTGTCGACATTTGATTGTATCAGTAATAATAAATATAAAATGAAAAAATAAAACTGGTTATAATAATGATAATAATAATAATAATAATGACAGTAATAATGATGATGATAGAATTTTTAAAAATTATAATAATAATGATAGTAAGAAAAAAAAAATAATAATAATGGTAATAATAATGATAAAAATGATAATTATTATAATGAGAATGACGATAGTGTTAATAATAATCATAAGAATAAAGAATAACACTAATTATAGTAATGACAATAATGATAATAATAACGACAATACCAATACTAAAAAGAAAAAAATAACAAGAGAAAAGAAAAAGCCATCCCCACTTCCTATTCCTAAACGCTGGTCCTTTCTGACTGACGTCATCACTCTCTACTAATTCCCTTCCTCCACTATTCTTCTCCTCTCCTCTTCAGATACGCTTCACCCCCCTTCCCCCCCTTCCCCCCCTTTCCCCATCTATATTTCCCGATCCTCCTATGACCACAGTAAGAACCAACCTTGAGTTTGCCTTCAGGTTCGACGAGGTGAGGAGGCACGATCACATTGAAGACACCGTTCTGGTCCGTCACGAAGTTTTTGCATGTGGTTTTAACACAGGCGTTTACCTCGACCCCTTCCGCGCCTGTATCGTCTGGGAACCTCGCTTGAATCTGTTGCAGTGGAAGTTTTGTTGTTAGAGGATGACGAGGAAAGTAGAATAATAGAAAGATAACGAAAATGATAATATAATAACGATATTAATAAGAACTATAATGATAATAATGATGATGAATATGACAATAATAACAATAGTGATAATAATAATGATAATAACAAAGAGAAAAGGATGTATGCATATATAATACGTATATAGATAGATAGATAGATAGATAGATAGATTTATTTATATATATACGTGTGTGTGTATGTGTGTGTACATACATACATATATATATATATATATATATATATATATATATATATATATATATATATATATATATATATATATAGATGCATATATGGAATCCAACTAAATTAAAAGTTAAATTCAAATTCATTAAAACAGACACACGTGGATACAGCCAGAGAGAGCGAGAGCGCAACCGGCAGCAGCCAACCTGCATCTCGAAGGGCAGGCCCGGTTTGGCATCTTTCACTCGGCTAATCTGCGTGAAGGAGAGGAGTCGGGTAGCCAGCTGGATGGATGCGGTGCCCGAGGCCATGTGCCCGGTGCCTTCCTCGGTGACTTCAGCTGTCAGGGCAAGATTGCCTATGAAGCCGTAGCCTTCCGTGCTGATCAGGCTTGTGTCCACCTCGACGTTCGTGCAACCGCTGAAGGTCTGGAGGAAGAATGCAATCGAGAAGGGTTAGGTTAGGTTAGGTTGGGTTGGGTTGAGTTAGGTTAGGTTGGGTTGGGTTGAGTTAGGTTAGGTTGGGTTGGGTTGAGTTAGGTTAGGTTAGGTTAGGTTGAGTTTGGTTAGGTTAGGTTAGATTGGGTTAGGTTGGGTTGGGTTGAGTTAGGTTGGGTTAGGTTGAGTTAGGTAAGTTTAGGTTGAGTTAGGTTAGGTTAGGCTGAGTTAGGTTAGGTTGGGTTAGGTTAGGTTAGGTTGGGTTAGGTTGAGTTAGGTTAGGTTGGGTTGGGTTGAGTTAGGTTAGGTTAGGTTGGGTTAGGTTGGGTTGAGTTAGGTTAGGTTAGGTTGGGTTAGGTTGAGTTAGGTTAGGTTGGGTTGGGTTGAGTTAGGTTAGGTTAAGTGAGGGTAGGTTAGGTTAGGTTAGGTCGAGGGACAGCAGAATGGACCGGGAGATACAGGGGGATAGACAA